AAATTAATATTTAATTGTGACATTATAATTAATATTGTTTTTTTATCGTGGTTGTATTTTTATTATTTATGGTAGATATTTTTCTTGTGAAATAGAGAAAAAATAAAAAAATAAAAAAAGTAGTATGATGCATCCACAATTTAGAAAAGTTAGTAATACATATAAGTAATAATATGTATTAAGCCAAATAATAAATATTCCTTTTAATTTTCAATACATATTATATACAAATTACCTTCATCAATGTTTATTTTCATCACTATGTCTTTAAATTTTTACTCATATCTATTATAAAGATAAATTACATGTAATGATGAGTTTATAATCTCAAATTTTAAAAAATAAACTATAATTTAGGACCTTATTTTCAACATTCAGAATGTATTAGTCTTTTAATTAAATGTGAACAAATGAGTTACAAATCATTATTATCAACTCTAATCTAAGATATATTTTGAATACTAATTACAGTTGAATGGTCGTGAATGTTCACTGTTATTTTCAAAATTTAGTAAAAATCCACTGAAGTATATATCATGATAACAAGTTAATACGATAATAATCATTTTTTATAAGTAAAAATACAATTTTTATGTAATAAATAATTTACTCTCTTTTTTAGTTTTATCGAAATTAATCAAAATAAGTTTACTCATTTTCACTATGGGATTTTAAATCCCTAGAATAATTGAAATGGATTGAAGTTCAATTTTGAAATAACTATCTTATAAGGGAGAATTGTTTCTTGAAAAAATTGTATTGTCGAAAATTCCATACGCTATAGTTAATTTTTAAGGTTACTAATGTGATTTTGTCACAACTGTGAGGGAGTTACAAATATTAATAGTTACAATCACTTTTTCAATTTATTTGTTTTTCATTCTACTTTTTTTTTTGTCATCGATGATCTTATTAATCTCTTATTATAACCTATTTAATAATTTAATTTCTCTTAGTTGATATAAAGACGTTAAGATTATCGAAACAAATATATAAATTAAAAATAAAATTTAAGAAAAATATAGTTTATAAATGTAAGAGAGAATATTATTTTAAGGTTTTGTAATTAAAATATATTTATTTGATAAGAGAAAAATATATAATGCACCAATGAAATTATCATCTCTAATTTCCAAATATCCTATTTTACTATAGATATTTTGTTATAGCATTAAAAAATTTAAAGAGAAACAATTTAGTGAACATGTATATGTTTAAGAATGATTGAATCAAAAATAGTTATTCAACATATAAAATATCAATTTTTTGTGGAAAAATTTATTAGTTAAGTGAATTAATATGTAGTCTTAATAGGATTATTTTATTTAGTTATTCAGTAAAACAATATGCATGATACGATTTAGGTTTACCAGGTAACAATATATATAGTATGAATGTTATTTTATGATAATGTGTGTTACATAATTTACTCTACTATCAATTACTTTAGTTGTAATATACATCAAAATAGATTAATTATAAAAATAAAGTAAAATATTTAACACCCAATTTTGAATCTTGAATTTCAAAATATGTGTACTTCTTAAAAAATATATAGTTACAGTTAAAATCAATTAAATAAAAATTAATATTGCATTTACTTAAAACTTATTTTCATTAGCCAATCTTATTTATAAATCATAGATAAATTATAATTTTCAAATCACTTCTCAAAAGTAGGAAACATAAATTTTATACAAATATATAAAAATTATATTGAGATAAAAATAAAATATAAAAGAACCATCATTTTATAATTTATCTAAAATAGAGTTATTTATTTTTCACTTTTAAGATAGTCTTGAAAATCCATGAATGAAATAATGCATGCATGGACATTTTAGGAAATACAACAATAATTTATTTTGGACAATATACATAGATAGGTACCTTCAATCAACTAATGTTACAGCAATATATATAGATAGATGGTCACCTTTAATTAATCAAGGGTGTTATTGTTCTTAATAATTGTCAAGTAATTTTTTTTAATAAAATAATTACGAGTTTAAAGATATTTTCAAATATTTATATCTCTTATGTCATTATATACAGAGAGAAAATATATATCTAAATATTATGAAATATTACACGTGCAAATATAATTGAATTTTCAACAGTTATGATCAAAATAATAGGTAACGAAATAATCAACCATAGTGTTAGCTTCCAATCAATAATTAAAAATATGATAATCACAAATTATAATTATAGTATATTCGAGTTATTTTTCAAAGAGTATGACGTAAAAAGAAGATATTAAATAACTATTATTTTGACAGTAATAATAATTATTATTTTAAGCATAATGATGATATCATCAAATAACAAAATCAAGGACGACATAAATTTCTTTAGCATTTAAAATTTCACATAAGAGATTAATTTTATTTTAGATTTTCTAACCAATATTTTTTTTATTCAATTTTATTTGTCATAGAGTTCAGTTAATAGTATTATATATTATATTTTATAATAAACAAATTCTTTTGTTAAACAATAGAAAGAAAATTATATAATACCATTAAATTAAATCTAATACAGAATAATTTTAATAAAAAAAACAAAAATATCACGTGCGTAGCACGTGCATCTTCCTAGTAACATAAAAAATACAGCCGAAGCTACTGCCCACGCATGTTGCAATTCACAGACCCATTACGCAATAAATTAAAGGGCCAATATGTCTTTTAACTCTTTATTCTTGATCTCCCACATGGGGAACATAAAGAAAACTATACAGCAATTTAAGTCATTCTACCAACAAATCAACTCAAAGGAATCAGTTGGATCGCTGTATCACGCCAATTGTTGCTGGTTTTTTGGTAATACTGGTTTTTAACCGGTTCGAGCGGTTGTTATCCGGTTTTGGGCCCAAGCAGTTAACTACCTCAAACCGGACCCGTTTGTTCCGGTTTTGACAACCTTGGCCAACACTATTAAGATCTAGCCTATCAATTTTCAGGATAGCTTCAGCTTCATAACATTAAAGCTTTGCTCTATGATTCTCCACCATTAAGATCTAGCCTATCAATTTTCAGGATAGCTTCAGCTTCATAACATTAAAGCTTTGCTCTATGATTCTCCACAATTAAGATCTAGCCTATCAATTTTCAGGATAGCTTCAACTTCATAAACATTAAAGCTTTGCTCTCTCCTGTTCCATCTTCTGCCAGAGTCTTCTATAAGTTCCTTCACTTACTTTAGTTAAGATTTTCTTGCATTTTAATGGTTTGAGACCAGGAAAGTTAGCTACCCAAGGATGCTCTCATTTGTTCACTGAACTGCCATCTCTGATGTGAAACCGATTGCCTTCTCAAAAGGTATCTTTCAACTTCCACCAACTAGCCCAAAATGGGGTTCTCTGAAAAGCTTATTTCTTGGTTGTTGTCTTGTATGTCTTATGCTTCTTTTGCTTTTAATGTGAAAGGATCTTTCTAAGGGTTTGTGCAATCTTCTAGAGGACTCAGACAATGGGACCCACTGTCCCCTTATCTTTTCCTTTTCATTTATTTAAGGCTTTCTCTAATTTAGTTAAACAAGCATGTGCTTCTGGGTTTATAAAGGGTTCAAGATCAGTAGATTTGCTCCTACTATCTCACACCTCTTTTTTGTTGATGATGTGATTCTTTTATGTCAAGCTGATAGCTTTCATGTCAGTTTGATCTTGAATATCTTGAATTTTTATGGCAATGATTCTAGTCAAAAAATGAACTTGGACAAATCCTTTATCTTCTTTTATAAGAACACAGCTCCCAATAACATGAATGCACAGTGAGAACCTCAAAGTATTTGGGGTTACCTTTCGGAATTGGGAGAAACAAAAGAGAGGTCTTTAAATTTGTGAGTGACTGTGTGAGAGATAGAATAAACAACTGGAAAAACATTTTCTTGAGTGAAGGGGGGAGGGACACACTAATCAAATCTGTGTTAAAAGCTCTTCCAACATATGTGATGTCTTGTTTCAAAATTCCCTCTAATGTTATCTAAGATATTTGTAGAGATATTGCAAATTTCTGGTGGGGTAGTTCTGATAAAGGGAAATAAAGTGCATTGGGCCTCTTGGGAGAGACTGTCTAGGGGCAAAGAGGATGGCGATTTAGGCTTTAGAGACTTAAGTTATTTTAATGAAACTATGTTAGTCAAGCAACTCTAGAGAATTATTTCCAAACCCAATCTCCTTGGAGTTGGGGCTGATGAGAGGAAAATACTTTTGGAAACAAAAGCTTAGTGAGGTCAAAGTTAGGGGGTCTGATTCTTGGGTTTGGAGATGCTGAATGAGGGCTCGAAAGTCTTTAGATTTAGGGGTTAGATATCAGTAGGGAATAGTAGAAATATTTCAGTGTGGAATTCTCCTTGGATTTCCAATAATTCTAATTTTAAACCTGGTCCTGGTTTTCATGGGGATAGGGATAGGATTAGTCAGGTTAGTGATTTGATCAATCAGGAAACAAAAGAGTGGGACACGGAGTTAATTTTGCATATTTTTAACCCTATTGATGCAGAGCTCATTCTCAGCATTTCAATCTGTTAGCATGGAGGAAAAGATCTCTTGATCAGGCATTGGGATCAGAAGGGAACTTTCACAGTCAAAGGAGCTTATGCTACAATCAAGAACAACAAGAGAGGGAATAAAGAGGGGGAACCAAGTGATGGGAAGAAGAAGGAGAAACAGATGCGGAAGGTCACATGGGACTTGCCAATACAACAAAAAATTAAGCTATTTATATGGAGATGTTGCCATGAGTTTATAACAGCAAAGTTGCAGTTGGAAAGAAAGGGACTGAAACTGGATACAAGGTATGAATTGTGGAGATTATGAGGAAAGTATTGAACATTTGTTATTATGTTGCCAAAGTGCAGTTATTTGTTGGAAACTTAGTGGGTTGTGGTGGCAGTATCAGGAGGACAACATACAAAGCTTCAAAGACTCTTGGTTTGAGCTGAGTGCCATCAAGGAGGAAAATGCTAGGACAGATAGGCTGAGTTTGGCAGCTTCAATGTTTTGGAGAATCTGGAACAGCAGGAATGAGTGGACCTTCAACAGGGTTAAAGAACCAAAGTGGATAACTGTTACCAAAGCAAGAGAAAGTTGGATGGAATACAGATCAATCAGCGAAGATTTGAAGAACAAGAACACACACTATCAAATGTCAAGGAGACCTCAGGTAGAGAAATTTTCTAAGGAAGTAGGACATACTAGTTGCTCTGTCAGTGCTTCATTCTCTACAAGAGGCACAATTGGCGTTGGTGGTGTTGTTGTGAATGGACAGGAAATTTATAAATGCTCCACTACAGAATCTGGTAAGATGGAGGCCATTGAAGGAATGTTGAGGGTAATCAGATGCATGTTACAAAAGTTGAAGGAGATGAAGGAACCTAGTGTGGTCTGCTTTCTACCAGATTTGAATTTGGCCAAGTTCTTGAGAAATCAAGTTGTTTGTGTTAGAATTTAGGTACGCAAATATCCAGATTTTCACACAAAGATCAAAAATAAAATACGCAGCGAAAATAAATAAACATGAAAGATTCAAAATTTAGCCTACAAGTGAATATCATTTGTAGACTAAGGCAACATGCCAAAATTCCACTAGAATAAAATAATCACAAAGTATTTCATCCAATCCAAAAACATCTAGTGAACTACGAAAAACACAAAACGCGAGTTTGATAATTATATGAACTATATCACCATCATATCATCAAATAAATCATGCCAAAGAAAATATCAAAATCACAAAGCTGCTCTTTTTCGTTATTCTCCACGCTGAAGCTTTTCCACAAAATTCACAACTCAAGGGTTGTACTGTGTTCTTGTGAATATCCGTGTGCCAAAGCTTCTGAAGCCCTCAATCAAAATAATGTTGCTGCCCCTTTTTCTTTGCACACGCTGAAGCCTGCTAAAAACCACAAAAAGGAACAAAATTTCTCTCCCCTTTTATCTTTCCACGCTACTACTCCTTTCTTTCTTCTTGGCCAAATCTCCTAAAAATCTCCTCTCAAATCTTTTCTTTTCTTTTCCTTATAGGACTCCTAAAGAGATAAGGAAATTTATTGAACACAATAAGATATATAATGACGCAGCAAAAGCAAGAGAATAAAGGGAAAACAGAGAATGAACTCTCAAGTCGATATTATTTTCTACAAAAAACTCCTGTTCAACTTCAACACATGACAGATAAATAGGAAAAGAGTCTCATACGTCTAAAATCCTATCTTTTCAACAAGAAAGGAATATGGAAAATAAATAAATACCTATCTCCTAAAAATTGGAAATAAAATAAATAATAATAATAATAAAAATAAGCATAATTAAATTAGACTAAAGAAGCCAGTCGATCATGTCGGTCTAAGAACGCGAGGGCAGTCTCGTCTTCATCATCCTCCCCCAGTTGAGAAGGATTCGCCCTCGAATCCCGCACAATCTCGTCTTCATCTTCGTCCGAATTGTCGCCAAGGAAAGGAACAAGGTATTTGACGTTAAAAACGTCTGACGTACGAATATGGGAAGGCAGACGTAGGCGATATGCATTGGGATTAATCTTTTCAATGATCTCGACCGGGCCAATCTTACTAGCGGACAGCTTGTTGTACTCATGGGCCGAAAAGCGGTCCTTAGTCAAAACCGCCCAAACAAAATCCCCGACCGCGAATTCCACATGTCGACGACGAGCATCGGCAGACTTCTTATAAGCCGCCGTACTCGCCTCCAAGTTCGCACGCACCGTAGCATGAGTCTGCTGTAAATCGGCCACAAAGTCAGTCGCGCGCCGATCAACTGGCTCGGAGGACGGCAAGGCGACCAGATCCGCCGGACCCCGCGGTTGCACCGCGTAGACGACCTGAAAAGGGGAGAGTCGCGTAGCCCGACTGACGGCTGAGTTATGAGCGAACTCTGCTTGGGAGATCCGTTGATCCCAGCCCCGAAGATTATCGCCCACCAAGCAACGCAATAAGTTCCCCAAAGAACGATTGACAGCTTCGGTCTGGCCATCAGTTTGTGGGTGATATGCACTGCTAAAATCCAGCCGGGTGTTAGCCTGCCGCCACAGGCTGCGCTAGAAAAAAATCAAGAAGCGAGTGTCACGATCGGACAGAGGACGGTAGCCCATGTAAGCGGTACACCTCCCGAAAGAATAACTGGGCGACATGCACGGCGTCCGTCGTGCGCTTGCAAGGAATAAAGTGAACCATTTTGGAGAAACGGTCCACCACCACGAAAATGGAATCGTAACCTCGCTGTGTGCGGGGAAGGCCAAGCACAAAATCCATACTGATAGCACTCCATGGTTGTGATGGAATCGGTAATGGGCGATAAAGTCCCGCATTCGTCGCAACCCCTTTTGAAACCTGGCAAATCCGACAGCGAGCAACAAAGCGAGACACGTCGCGTCTCAAAGTGGGCCAAAAATAAGAACGATGAACGAGCTCGACAGACCGGTCGCGCCCCACGTGTCCCCTGCCATGCAAGTCGGCGATTAACTTAAGCCGAAGACTACAGTCGGGCACACATAGGCGCCAACCCCGAAAAATAAACCCTTCAGTCAGGGCATACTCCTCAAAAGGTCCGGAATGTAGGCGTAACAATATCGGGCCGAAAAAAGGATCCGTTGCGTAGACCTCCCGAAGCAAATCGAAACCCACGACGGCAACTCGCCTATCCATCAATACCAAAGCCCGGCGGCTCAAAGCATCAGCCACCCGATTCGAAGCACCCGAACGATGACGTAAAAAAAATGTGAATTGCTGTAGGAACGCCGTCCAGGATGCATGGCGTGCCGAAATGTTATCCTGCGAGGCCAGATGACGAAGTGTCTCGTGGTCAGTGAACAAAATGAACTCAAGGTGAAACAAATAATGACGCCAGTGACGAACCGCGCGAACCACTGCATAAAACTCAACGTCGTAAGTACTATATCGAAGACGAGGACCAGACAACTTCTCGCTGAAGAATGAGACCGGCCGTCCATCCTGACTCAAAACCGCCCCAATGCCAACCTTTGAAGCATCGCACGACAACTCAAAAGGTCTCGAGAAATCCGGGAGCACCAACACGGGCGCTGTCGTGAGCCGGCCCTTGAGAAGGGTGAAAGCTTCGGCGGCCTCCGGAGTCCAAACAAAGGTCTTGCCTGTCATGAAATCAGTAATAGGCGCCGCAATCGTACTAAAGTGGGAGATAAAGCGCCGATAGAAAGACGCCAGACCATGAAAACTACGAACCTCGGTAAAGGACGTAGGTGTTGGCCACTCGCGAATTGCCTGCACCTTGGCCTCATCTACACGAATGCCTTCTGCCGAAATAACAAAACCAAGAAACAACACAGAATCCACCAAGAAAAAACACTTGCGAGGGGCCGCAAAGAAAGATTCAACACGAAGTATAAGTAAAACCGAGCGCACATGCGATAAATGATCATCCAAAGTACGACTATAAATAAGAATATCGTCAAAATAAACGACAACACACTTACCTATAAGGTCCCGAAGTACCTGATTCATAACATGCATAAATGTGCTGGGCGCATTCGATAAGCCAAAGGGCATGACCATCCATTCAAACAACCCTTCGCGAATCTTGAAGGCTGTCTTCCACTCGTCCCCCGGTCGAATGTGGATCTGATGGTACCCGCTACGAAGATCGAGCTTCGTGAAAATAGTAGCACCGTGCAGTTGATCAAGTAAATCATCAAGGCGAGGAATGGGAAACCGATATCGGACGGTAATCTTGTTAATCGCTCGACTATCCACGCACATGCGCCACGAACTGTCTTTCTTAGGAATAAGCAAGGCGGGTACCGCGAAAGGACTTAGACTACGCCGTACTACACCACGTTGCAAAAGCTCCTCTACCTGTCGGCGCAGCTCGTCGTGCTCAGCTGGGCTCATCCGATAATGAGGTCGATTCGGAAGAGAGGCGCCCGGCACCAAGTCAATCTGATGCTGAATGTCCCGAAGAGGAGGGAGAGCGGAAGGAAGATCCTCTGGAAAGACGTCCGCAAATTCCTCAAGTAAAGGGCGAACAGCCGATGGAGGCAGCTGTTCGGATGATAAGTCTGTGCCAAGTAGGAGAAGAACAAAGGGGGCCTCGTGCATCTGGCCAGCGAAGGCGGCCCGAGAGAGGAACATAACCGGCGAAGGATCTGGAGCAGGCAAGGACCGAAGTGGTGACGGATGAAGAACAACCTTAACACCCTCAAAGATGAAACTATAGGTATTAAGACGACCGTCATGTTCCGCCGAGCGGTCGAATTGCCACGGACGGCCTAACAGAAGGTGGCATGCATCCATTGACACAACATCGCACCATGTCGAGTCTCGATAACGGGGCCCGATTGAAAAAGAAACCAACACGCGACGATCAACAGTAATGGAGTTACCGCGTTGAATCCACGCGAGAGTGTACGGCTGTGGGTGTGGCTCGGTTGTCAAGTTAAGCTTATCCACTGCATCCTTGGCCACCACGTTTTCACAAGAGCCCGAGTCGATAATATAGCGACAAACTTTACCACCTATAGTGCACGTCGACTCAAATATGTGATGTCTCTGAGCCGATTCAGTAGAGCCTGCATGGGGAGCCAAACATGAACGTCGGATAACGAGGGCTGGCCCGACGTCCCCGCTCCAATGCTCCTCGGTCACAAGAGGCTCTTCGTCAAAAATAGGCGGCAACTCATACACCACAGTGTCGCCGTGATCAAGTCCCTCCTCCGTAAATAAAGCCCGACCTCCACTGTTCCGAGGACAGACCGACTATCGGTGCCCGACTTCACCGCAGGAAAAGCATCGAAAATTGCCTGGCTGTCTAGCGTTGGTCTGCGTGGAGTGCCCGACCCCCGCGCTGGTAGTGGCTGCTCCCGGAAATGGTGCTGCAACCTTCCCAGCGGCCACAGTCGACGAAGAAGCCCCCCCGCTGGCCGGCGACGGGCGGCTAGAAGCTGCTCCTTGGCCGAACTGACCCGCCCTCGGTGGTAAAAAGGTTGTTGGTGCACGCCGGGCCAACTGCTGCTCAAGAACAAGGGCCCGCTAATGGGCATCCGGAATAGAATCCGGAGAAAATAAAATTAGCGTATCTTGGATCGATAAGCGAAGCCCTCCAATGTATCGAGATATGAGTTGATCTGTTGTCTCGCGGGCATCCAATCTCGTAAGAAGACGATAAAATTGCTCAGTATACTCGTTAACCGTACGTTGCCCTTGTCTTAGATTTTGAAATTGCATGAACAGGGTACGCATAAAATTGAAAGGAAGAAACTCACGGTCGAGATGTTTACGTAACTTCGGCCATTCAGTGATTTTCGATTTCCCCAGTCTACGCCTTGTCGCTTTGAGTTGAGACCACCACGTGGCGGCCCGATCGCGAAACCGGGTCGCGACAAGTTCCACCCGTAAGTTTGCAGGAACCCCTTTGAAGTCGAGGGCGGACTCGACCGTGGCCATCCAATCCAGGAACTCCGTTGCCTCCAGGCCGCCGGTAAATTCTGGAATGTCCACACGAAAAGATGATTTCCAGCGCTTCTCCTCGTCCTGATCATCATCTTCACGGGCTGGATATCCAAAAGGGTTGACTTCGGAAACGGTGTCGTCGTCGTCACCGCTTCCATCCCACGAAGGAGGAGACCAGTTGCGGGGCGCCCCGCGGTCTCCCCGGCCACGACCCCCGCGCGCTCCCCCGAGCCGTCCGCCGCGGCCTCGGTTCGCCTGATTGCCGTGAGGGCCAGTATTGATGGCCAGTGCAATCTCCTCAATCCTCGATGTGAGATTGGCCATGAGTCGATCAGACGCGTCACTTCGTTGCAGCAACAACTCGATGGCAGCGTCTCTCCGTTCATCCACATCGTTTCTCTTTGGAGGCATCTTGGATCGTGACTGATCTCAGATACCAATTGACGCAGCAAAAGCAAGAGAATAAAGGGAAAACAGAGAATGAACTCTCAAGTCGAAATTATTTTCTGGAAAAAACTCTTGTTCAACTTCAACACATGACAGATAAATAGGAAAAGAGTCTCATACGTCTAAAATCCTATCTTTTCAACAAGAAAGGAATATGGAAAATAAATAAATACCTATCTCCTAAAAATTAGAAATAAAATAAATAATAATGAAAAAATAAGCATAATTAAATTAGACTAAAGAAGCCAGTCGATCATGTCGGTCGAAGAACGCGAGGGCAATCTCGTCTTCATCATATAATTATTAAGATAAATAATTACAGAAAAGCAAAAACAATAAAAGATATATAAAATATATACGAATTAACAATTTGTAAGCCCATGTTTCTGATATTTGGTGGTTTTCTAATGAGGGTTTATGTTGTATCTTTGTGTTCGACCTAGGTGAATGTAAGACTAATTTATGTTTATTTTCTTTAGTGATTGACGGACAGTGATGTATGCTGTTCCGGTTATGTTTTTTGGGTTCAGTCCAACCATCGGTTGTAAAACTTTGTTTGAGTTTTTAATTAATTTTCTTTA